TGGAGGGATGGACACTGGGAAGAGGTAACTCTGGGGAGGAAGTGGGAGGGGAGCTGTTGCATTGTGGTCAATGACATGAGACAAAGTATATGTGAACTGCTGTATGGAAAGTGAATTTGCTCTGTAAATCGTCACCCAAATCACAATAAATTAAAAAAATAAAGCTGCTATTATTAATTAAACTATTGTTAATAAGGCTGCGATGAACAATATGACTACAAGGCTTTGGGTGGACTAAGATGCTTCTTTCTCTAGGTAGATATCTAGCAGCAGAATTTCTACGTTGTAGACAAACTCATAATTACAACTGGAGATGTCAATTTCCACTCTCACAATTATTATAACAAATTGACAGAAAATAGTAAGGATACAGAAGACCTGAAGACCATTTTCAACCAACTTGACATTATTGACACTTATAATTGATACTTATGGCACACTCTACCCAAAGGCAGCAGAATACATGCTAGTTTCAAGTGCGAATGAAACATTTTCCAATACAGAACATATTCTGGACCAAAAAATAAGTTTTAATAAACTTAAAAGGATTCTAGTTATTCAGTAGTCCCTGAGTGGCACAAGCAGTTAAGTACTGGACTACTGGCCAAAAGATTGGCCTATTTGCTTTTTTAAAATAATTTTCTGAGAAACTATACACAACAAACATACAACCATTTGACAGTTTTTACATGTGCAGTTCAACGACAAAGGTCATATACTTTACATTGTGTAAGCATTATCACTATCTCTGCCCACATTGTTTCACCACCATTAATTTAGACCCTCTGCCCCAATGGTTCTCATTTGCGCTTTAGGGTTAAAAAATAAAAAAAAACCCAAACCCACTGCCTTTGAGTCTATTCCAACTCACAGCAACCCTATAGGACATTGTAGAAGTGCCCCCATAGGGTTTCTAAGGCTGTAAATCTTTACAGAAGCAGACTGTCACATCTTTCTCCCATGGAGTGGCTGGTGGGTTGGAGCACCAACCTTTCGGCTAGCAGCTCAGCACTTTAACTATTGCACCATCAGGTCTCCTTGCTTCAGGTTTACTGTTGTTAATTTGATATCATATAGATAATTTTTGAAAAAGCACAATGTCCAAGGCAAACATTCTTTATTAAGTGAACTACACTGCTGTTTAGTTCAAAAATGATTCATCAGATAGTTTGGTTCAAGGTTTAAAAGTTGTTTCCAAGCAGTAGATTCAGGGGTTCACCCGATTTAAATGGATCCAGTCAGTCTGGTTACCATGAGAACTTGAAGTTCAGTTCAACATTTTTCCTCCTGTTGATCAGGATCCATCTATTGGGTCCTTGATTAAAATGTTCCATAAGGATAGCTGGGTACCGTCCTTTTTCTGGTCTCATGGCTAAAGAGATATTAGTTCAGAAATGCAACTAGACGTTCAATCCATTTCTTTCTCAGATTCCTGGGTCTTCTTCTTCCTCTCTTGCTCCAACCCTACTTCCTTTTGTTCAATTGTTCTTCCCTTCCTTTAAGTCTGGCTTCTGGCACATGACACTTTGCTTCTCCCACTTTTTTAGATCTTCCTTTTCTGTCTCCATTGCTTCCAAACCTTTCAGCAGTAGCCTACAGATTAGTCTTTGAACCTCTCTAATTTTCTATTTACACTTATTCCCTTTGTTATCTTCTATTGTCTCATGGCTTTGTTGTTGTTAGCTGACACTGAGTTTGTCCCCAACTTATTATGACCACCCACAATGGAAAGAAATGCTGCCTGGTTCTGCACCATCACCATGATCAGTTGTGGATCGAATCATTGTGATCCACAGAGTTTTCACTGGCTGATTTTTGGAACTAAATCACCAGGCCTTTCTTCATAGTCTGTCTGAGTCTGGAGGCTCCACTGAACCCTGTGCAGCATCACACCAGCATGCAAGCCTCCACTGACAGACAGGTGATAGCCAGGCATGAGGTGCACTGGTTGGGAACTGAACCCAGCTTTCCTACACAGAAGGTGAAAATATTACCACTGAACCACCACTGCCTCTATCTCATGGCTTTAAATACCATTTATTCGCTATTAAGTTTTTATCTTCAGCATAAATCTTTCCACTAAACTCTTGACTTGTCATATATCCAACTTAGGAACTTGACTTAGATGTCTAAAGGCATCACAAAGTTAACATGTTCAAAACTGATCTCATCTCTCCCCCAAACTTGCTTCTCCCAAAGTCTTGCCCATCTCAGTTAATGACAACTCCATTCTTCCAGGTGCAGACAAAAACCCTAAGAGTCATCACTGACTGCTCTCTTTCTCTCACTCCAAATGTGATCTATCAACATATCCTGTTGGCTCTACTTTCCTAAGATTGGGCTCTCTGTTACCTCTCTGATGTCATCTCTTTTACTTTCCTTTTGGCTCTGTTCCAGTCACACTGGCTTCCTTGCTGCTCCTTAAACACCTGAGCATCTTGCTGCCATAAGGCTTTTGTACTTGCTCTCTTGGAATGCTCTTCTGCTAGTTATCTGCATGGCCAGCTCCTTCTGTCTTTATTCAAAAGTCATCTTCTCAGCAAGGCCTTTTCTGAACACTACTTAAAACTGAAAAATCCTCCCCAACAATCTCTATTCCTTTTCTCTACCTTATTTTCTGTGACCATCTAATACACTATATTTTAGTTATTTATCTGGTTTACTGTCTTTCTCCCACCTTCCCACCCCAAAATCTAAGCTCCATGAGTGCAGAGAAAGATGCTTATTAAACAAACAAGTGAAAAGGGCACACTGTCAACCCCACACTGTGTGAGGATATGAAATTTTTGAGTACCAGTAATCCACTACTAATAACTGACAAGTAGACAAATAGTCATCTCAACCTCAAAATACTTTAGATGTATTTGCTGTTGACATAATTTACTCTATAAGTATTCCCCACCCCCATTCCACGGAGAAGGATATCATGAGTGGTAAAGTAGAGAACCAAAAACTAAACCAAACTCATTTTCACTGAGTCAATTCTGACTCATAGAGACCTCCCTTGGGTTTCTGAGTAAGTTAATCTTTACGGAAGTAGACTGCCCAGTTTTCCTTCTGCAGAGTGGCTGGTGGGTTTGAACTACCAACCTTCTGGTTAGCAATCAGATTCCTTAGGTACTACACCACCAGAGCTCCTTGGTAAAGTAGAGGGTCAGGGAAAAAAGGCAAAGACCCTCAACAGGATGGATTGACACAGTGGCTGCAACAATGGGTTCAAGCATAGCAATGACCCTAAGGATGGTGCAGGACTGGGTGGTGTTTCATTCTGCTGTACACAGGGTTGATATGAGTCAGAACTGACTCAATGGCACCTAACAACAACAACTCTCCTTCCCTATATATAGTATGTATTTCTGTGGTTTTATTTATATCTTAATGATTTACCTTTTCATGGTGTAATGCTTTCATTTTTTACATTTGATTGATGTGTGAAACTGTAAGAATAATTTTAGCTTCAGTTTTAGCTTGATATATTTCTTTGAGGCTATGCCCTACAGAATAGTTAAGCAGAATTACTAGATCAGGAAAGAGCCATAAAAAACATTAGAACTTCATTCTAATTCTCTGAAAGTCTCAAAGGCTGAAAAATGAGCTATTACCTATTTGTTTATTTATAACTTAATTTATTTCTATAAACATTTTAATTCTATACTATTATTGGAAAATGATAAAATAGGATCATTATAAGAAGGTTCTAGCATTATTTGGGAATTGCAAATGTGGCTTATAACATTGGAAACTCTGTTAAAATAAGAAAGCTCAATTACTTGCCCTAGAAGTTACCAATTTATATTCTGTATTTCTTTAAAAAACATCTCTGGTATCTACCCATTTGTTTATGTTCTTTTCCAATAGTTCTAGTATTTTCATAACTAATAAGGAGAAGTGAAAAAAAGTATTTTCAGTGAAATATTACACTCACATTATACCGTATTTTCATGTTTAAAAATAACATAATACCTATAGCTACCATATGTATGGTACCATACTAAATCCAGTCGGGAAAAAAGGGAGCACTGCTTAAATATGCAGCTGTATAACCCAGGCAACATAGTTAACCTTTCTAAACCTTAGACTCCCTTAGACTCAAGCTAGATTTCATTTACTTAATATTTTCTGAGCACTTACTATGTGCCTGATTATGTGCCAGGCACTAAGTTAGGAACTTAAAAAAAAAAAAAAAAAGAACTTTATAACAAAGATACAGAGGTGTCATTTACTGTTCCATTTACCAAACTATTCCATTTAGGAACTTAACTGCCGCTGTTTTATCTCCTCTTGATCTGTTATCTTAATTCCAAAGTCCTAAGATAGGGATCAGGACTCCCTGGGTGGCTCAAACACTTGACTACTAGCCAAAAGGTTGACAGTTTGAACCCACCCAGTGGGCCCTTGGAAGAAAAGCCTACTGCTACCCAAAGGTCACAGCCTTGAAAATCCTATGGACCACTTCTACTCTGTACACACGGCATCACCGTTAAGTCAGAATGGACTCAACAGCAACTAACAACAAGAAGAAGATAGGGATCAAGTGTCCATCCTTGTCTAAGTAGGTGTCATTTAATGAAGTCACTGGGAATTGAACAAATGTTACAATTGGTATCTCCAAAAAGCATTGCCCACAATTTATAAAAGAGAAAACTGAGGCTGAGAAGTATGAGTAACTTTCCCAAGTTAATGTGGGCAGTGGAGTTGTACAAATGCAGGGTCAGCACCTGAGAGTGAGCTGTTCCCTTAAATTTTAAGTTGGTGCCTCATTCACCTCACCCTAGCCTGACTTCTGCTAATGTTTAATTGGTCTTTCCATTACTAAAATTTGACACCTTCACAATTTTCAAAGAAACACAATGTCTCACAAAATAAGTTTCATGGATTCATGTTTTAAAAAAAGTTTTTGAAAAGAGAATAAACATATAATTACATATCCCCTAATTGATCTTATATATATTGTTAAATAACATATCTTTCAGAAGATTCCATTCAAAGCAGAAACTTACCTTCCCACTCTGTTGGGATATCCCCTATTTCATAGTCTTCTTCTTTTTTCTGCACTGCTTCTACAATTCTTTTCTCTCGAATAGTTTGTCCTATAAGAGAAAAGTGATGAATACATTTTAAAATGAATCCATGATATAGCAGTTACTGTAAGTAGAACTTACTCTATTGTATTGCACATCCTCAATTATGGTAAAAGAATTAACAGGAAAGAGAATAGCTTCCTTTTAGAACTAGGTGTGTTAGAAAAAGCAATGTTTAAACTACAGCAAAATGTATATACTTCTTATCATAGTATCAGTCATACAGCAAAATGTATATACTGCTTATCATAGTGTCAGTCATAGTTCTGCTGTGCATGGGGTCACTATGAGTCGGAAACGACTCGACGGCACCTAACTGCAACAACAGTATCAGTCAATATGTACTGATAATTACCAGTGATTGGAATGTGAAAGTTGGGAACAAACAAAAGGGTTGGTAGTCGGAAAATATGACCTTGAGGATAAAAACGATGCCAGAGACTGCATGACAGAATTTTGCAAGACCAACAACTTATTAATTGCAAATATTTTTTTCAACAACATAAATGGTGACTATACATATAGACCTCGCTAGATGGAATACAAAGAAATCTAATTAACTCCATCTGTGGAAAGAGACAATGGAGAAACTCAATTTATCATCAGTTAAAACAAGGCCAAGGGTTGACTGCAGAACAGATCATCAATTGCTTTTATGCAAGTTCAAATTGAAGCTGAAAAAAATTTTACAAAGTCTAAAAGAGCCAAAGTATGATCTTGAGTATATCCTGTCTGAATTTAGAGACCATCTCAAGAATAGATTTGGCACATTGAATGCTAATTACCAAAGACCAGATGAGTTGTAGGATGACATCAAAGACATTATACATAAAGAAAAAATGAAAAGACCAAAATGGATGTCAGAAGAAACTCTGAAACTTGCTCTTGACTAAAGAATAGCTAAAGTGAATGGGAGAAATGACCAAATAAAAGAGGTGAACAGAAGATTTCACAGGTAGCTCAAGAAGACAAAGTAAAGTATTATAATGAAATGTGCAAAGACCTGGAATAAGAAAACCAAAAGACAAAAATGGCATCTCTCTAGCTGAAAGAACTGAAGAAAAAATTAAACCCTGGAGTTGCAATACTGGCTTCTATGTACAAAATATTGAAGAACACAGGAAGCATCAAAAGAAGATAGAATACAAAGAGTCACTGAACCAAAAAAAAAAAAAAATTGGTTGACATCCAACCATTTCAGTAAGTAGTATATGATCAAGAACCCATGGTATTGAAGGAAGAAGCTCAAACTTCACTGAAGGCATTAGTGAAAAACAAGGCTCCAGGAATTGGCAGAATACCAATTGAGATGTTTTAACACACAGATGCAAAGCTGGAAGTGCTCACTGGTCCATGCCAAGAAATCTGGAAGACAGCTACCTGGAAGAGATCCATATTTGTACCCATTCCAAAGAAAGGTGATCCAATGGAATGTGGAAATTATCGAACAGTACCATGAATATCATACACAAATAAAATTTTGCTGAAGATCTTAAAAAAACAGTTGCAGCAGTACATGGAGAACTGCCCCACATTCAAGCTGGATTCAGAAGAGCACGTGGAATAAGAGGTATCATTGCTGATGGTAGGAAGATCTTCGCTGAAAACAAAGTATACAAGATATTTACCTGTGTTTTACTGACTATGCAATGGCATTCAAATATGTGGATCACACCAAATTGTGGGTGACATTTCAAAAAATAGCAATTCTAGTACACTTAATCATGTTCAGGCAGAACCTGTACACAGACCAAGAGGATACTGCATAGTTTGAAATCAGGAAAAGTGTGCATCAGAGTTGTATCTTTTCACCATACCTATTCAATCTGTATGCTAAGCAAATAATCTGAGGTGATGGACTATATGAAGAACACGACATTAGGATTGTAGGAAGACTTGTTAATAACGTGTGATATGCAGATGACAAACTTTGCTTGCTGAAAGCAAAGAGGATTTGAAGCATTTACTGATGAAGATTAAAGACTATAGCCTTCAGTATGGATTACCCCACAACATAAAGAAAACAAAAATCCTCAAAACTGAACCAGTAAGCAACATCATGCTAAGTAGAGAAAAGATTGAAGCTGTCAAGGATTTCATTTTACTTTGATCCACAATCAACCTCATGGAAGCAGTAGTCAAAAAATCAAATGACATATTGCAATGGGTAGATATGCTGCCAAAGATCTCTTTAAAGTATTAAAGAGCAAATATGTCTTTGAAGACTAATGTGTGACTGACCCAAGCCATGGTTTTTCAATCACGTCACATGGATATGAAAGTTGGACAATGAATAAGGAAGACCAAAGAAGAATCAATGCCTTTGAATTATGGTGTTGACAGAGAATACTGAATATACCATAAACTGTCAGAAAAATGGACAAATTTATCTTGGTTCTAAGTATAGCCAGAATGCTTCTTAGAAGAGAGGGTATTGAAACTCCGTCTCATATATTTTGGAATTGTTATCAGGAGGATAGTTTTACTGACTATGCAATGGCATTCAAATATGTGGATCACACCAAATTGTGGGTGACATTTCAAAAAATAGCAATTCTAGTACACTTAATCATGTTCAGGCAGAACCTGTACACAGACCAAGAGGATACTGCATAGTTTGAAAGTCCCTAAGAAGGATATCCTGCTTGGTGCAGGGTCAGTGAAAAAGAGGAGGACTCTTAATGAGATGGACTGGCACAATGGCTGCAACAATGGGCTCAAACATAGCAACAGCTGTGAGGATGGCTCAGGACCAGGCAATGTCTCGCCCTGTTATACACAGGATCACTATGAGTCATACCAACTTGACACCACCTAACAACCATAGCATATAAAATTAATTTGGGTAGAATAAATCTAGATTCTATGTACTATAGACACAGGATAACAAAAGAGCAATCAATTAATCCTGTTGGGCACTAATGGCTAATAAAAAGTCATTTTAATAATCTACAGAGGATGCAACCCCTTCACACAACACAGTACAGAAAGGCATGTCATTTATGGCACTTTCACTTTACTGTGCTTCACATTGTTTTTAATAAATTGAAGGTTTGTCACAACCCTGTGTTGACCAAGTCTTTTGGCGCCATTGTTCCAACAGCATGTGCTTACTTCTTGTTTCTGTCATACCTCAGTAATTCTCAATATTTCCAACTTTTTCATAATACTATTGCACATTTAATAGGTTACAGTATACTGCAAACATAACTTTTATATGCAATGGGAAATCAAAAAATTCTTGTGAAGAGCTTTATTGCAATATTCGCTTTTTTTTTGTGGTGGTCTGGAACCAAACCCGCAATATCTTCAAGGTTGCTTGTATCGTTGTTAGGTGCCATGAGTTGATCTCGACTCACAGCAACCCCACATGACAGACTAAAACTGACGCGCAGGGTTTTTTTTGGCTGTAATCTTTACTGAAGCACATCTCCAGGTTTTTCTCCTATGGAGTTGCTGGATGGGTTCAAACCACCACCCCATCAATTAGTAGCTGAGTGCTCAACTGTTGCACTACCATGGCTTCTTACAAGTGTATATATTATTAGAGATGCCAATGGCTGCTGGCACTGCCTGAGGGAATCACTACTCATAGCTCTGACTAAGTATGCAGTGGGTCACAAAATCACTGCACTACCCTATTCTGACAGTAAACTGGCAAATACAAGGGAATCAAGCCATGTGTTGGATCCTACGGCCCAGCTAATTCATAATCTCTCAAAGGAATCTAAATGAAGAAGGACAAAACTATTGTGCCTTAGGTATGGTGCTTCAGGTGAGGGATCACCATAGGAAATGGGTGATGATAATGCAGAAAACATGAAAGCAGAAAAAGCAGTAAGGAAAAAGATGGAGAGGGGTCAGGGATGGAATGAGAATGCCTACATTTCTCAATAATAAAAAGTTGACTAGTGCATATTTTAAGTTTATATAGAAGACATAGAAATATTTGATGTTTTCTTTTTTTTCCTAGAAAGTTTTGATTACATCCTTCAAAGCAGTTTTGTTACAATGGTAACTTCAAAACATATGACTTTGTTATTGAGCTTCAAGCCTGGGAAAACCAAGTATGCTTTCTTCTTCCCGATAATTAACAAACATGTCTGCCAACTGTGGAAAATGAGATTTGAAACAGAGGAGACACAGGCAGGTACTGATGAGGGGAGCAGCAAGGCTGAACAGTGATCAGCGATCAGCTCAGTCAGGGGCGAGGGGTGGGGTGTGGGAATCTGGACCTTACGGAAGACTTCTTTCTCTCCCTCCTCCTGGCTAACCTTGTGTTCTTCCTGCCACTAGGTGTCGCCGACTTGTTTCTGACTCACAGCGACCCCATGTGCAGAGCAGAACTGCCCCATAGAGTTTTCTAGGCTGCAATTTTTACAGAAGCAGAATGCCAGGGAGCAACTGGTAGGTTCAAACTGCCAACCTTTCAGGTAGCATCCAAATGCTTAACCAACACACCCAGCTGGGGCTCCTCTGGCCAACCTTCTTGCTGCTGTTGTGTGCCACAGAGTTAATTCTAACTCCAAGCAACATTTACACTATGCTAAATAAACTATCAAAACCAGAACCAAACTCACTGCCATCAATTCTGACTCACACTGATGATCCCCATTGGGTTTCTGAGGTGGTAAATCTTTATGGAAGTAGATTGCCCCATCTTCCTTCCATGGAGCAGCTGGTGGGTTTGAACCAACTGTCTGGTTAGCAGTCAAATGCCTTAGCACTACGCCAAGAGCTCCTTATATAGACTAGGTGACACAATTAAAGAAATAGACTTGTTGCCTTCAAATCCTTCTCCTACACTACTTGAAGTTCTACTAACTTTAAATTCCTTTGTGTTAATAAGGAAATTCCTGAGAATCACTGTCCAGGAAAGAAGAAGGTACAAAAGGTCAGCCTGAGAAGACTGAATGTCTGGGTTTACCTCTTCTGCCTTGGTAATATGTGAAAGGCTGGGATTTCGTAGACAAGCCACTAATGATAAATGACCCTTATTGGTTATAGGG